GAGAGAGAGAGAGAGAGAGAGATATTCCCAAGTTTAACATGAATTATTTCCTATTCTGAATCAATTCAATTACTTTGATGACTACCATTATCCAGATAGGATGAGTTGCCTGGGCTCATGCTCTCCCAAATTATCTCAACCAGGAACTTGTTATTATAGCTAACATATTCTAGAAAAAGAGAGCAGAATGCAAATTTTCCAAAGTCAACTTGGCTGGTCAAAATTATTCAGTGTCCAGTGCCCAATAACGAATGCATTTTTCTGGTGTCCAAGGCTTACTGGTAATTTTGTTGGAAAACTGAACACCTTGGTGTACAACATTTCCCATGATGAATCTTTCTAAGCTGATCTTAGAGATTATGTTTAGAAAGAATACAAAAAAGAAGCTTGTTTGCAAACATTCCAACTAATAAGATTTTTGAAAAGCTCCATGTGTTTCACAATTCGAAGCTCCTTCTTCAGGAACCATTTCAATCTTCCAAATTCTGTGAAATGGCTGAGCTACTTTGCACAAATGTCTGCATGGCATGATAAGGTTTCCTGTACCCATTTCACAGAAACTTGAAGGTTTAAGATGGTTCTTCAGAATCTAGTGTTCCAACTGCAATTTCAAGTGCTCTTTGGAAACTAATACCCTGAAATGAATTCAGATGTAATAAATCTTAATCACTGGAACTTTGAGAACAAGTTTCTTGTGTTACATTGTTTCTGCTTCTGTTGACTCCATCTTGTTTTTGTTTGAGGTTTTTGCAGGTTCTGGAACCACCTGTGAGGCTAGGTCTCAACATGGTTTTAGGAACCTTGCTATAAATTATTACTTGGTAAATTGTTGCCGGTAGGAATGGAGTAGTGAGTTATCTGTGATTCTTATTGCTACAAGCTCATCATACCAGTGTTCCAGAATTGCCACTAGCTTGCATTTGCCTTTGGGGCCCAATTCAAATTGCTTCTTATGATCTATAAAAATAAGCTTTACATACATAAAAGATCACTTCTATCACTATGTTCCTCTGAAGCTCAAAGATCAACCAAAATTACTCTCTTAAGATTGTTATGGGTTCACCAAATTAGGACTGCAAAAACACACAGAACGGTATCTCTCTCCACTGTGGCTTTCTATCCTAAAACTGTTTGTCTTCTAAGGCCTAGAAGAGATGGTATAAGGATAGAATTTTAATAATATATGCATTTGTAAGGTAATGTTACCTGTCCTAATCAAGTAGTTTACCAATTTAATATATAATTATGTTGCATTTGGCCACACAGTGGCCTTAATACTAAACATTACTAAAGATTGCTGCCAACACCACTGTTCTGAATGGAGTGCCACTTTTCTGCTACAGGAGATGGAAGAGGAATCTTCTTTGCATCAATACTGCTACTCAGGAAAACAGTAAGAATAGCTACAGCCACACGCATAAGCCAGGAGACTTAGACAGGGCAGAAGTCCAAATGTTGCAATCAGCAAAAGAAAAAGAAAAGAAAGGGAATCCAGTCATAATAGGATGGCAGGGACTACCAAAGACACAGGATGATAGCTACTGAGCATCTGGGATCACAGGACAACAGCTCCCAATATCCTCCATCGTATGCATGTCTATTCAGAAATTACTACCCACTGAGTTCAGTTGAACTTCTGTTGAGGAAAATATTTAGAGGATTGCACTGTTAAGGTCTCAGTTGGTTACCTTTCCCTATGTTGACAATTGCTCACTTTGATTAATTTCCCAAATTAGTTACAGAATGGTTTGCTCTGATATCTGCAAATGTAGACAATGAAGAAACAATACCTGGAACATCAGTGAAGGTCTCTCCAAGAACTGACACATGAAAACTCAGTTCTATCTCTTTCATTCTCAGGAGTACCTTAAAGAAACTTTCCGGATCCTTATCATGTTCCCTAAAGTAAACAAAATTGGGCTGTTTATTTAGAGAAAACTTTGTATATAACAGAACAATATTATGCAACATCGGCACATTACATTCTAGTTGTATCACAGAACATCAGTCTCCAAGATGTTCCCTAGCTAGAATTTTTATCCCTTTATTTGCAAGTAAGCTTCTTTGAAATCCATGAAAACATGGTCTTTGTACTTTCTCCAATATAATATTATTGGTTCTAAGGTCAGCATTGTTCCACTATTAGTTGCACGACCACTATCAGAACTATGAGAACAACTAGCATAGACAACCCCTAATCTAATGCAGTCATAATAAGATGTGCAACACCTTAAGACTTTGTTGGATGAAGTGAAGGTCCTTCTAGGCCAGCATTCTGTTCACACAGGGGCCAACCAGCTGCTCATGGAAAACCAACAAGCAGGACATGAGTACCCAACCTACCGAGCAAGTAGTTGTACATACTGCCTCTGATAACAGAGGCAGTATATAGTCATCGAGACCATTAGCCAATGATTACCTTTTTCTCCATGATTTTTTTCCAATTCCCCTTTAAAGCCATCCAAATTAGAGACCAGAAATATATCTTATGGAAGTGAATTTAAAGTTCAGCTATTTGCTATGTGAATAATTACTTCTTTTTTTCTGTCCTGAATCTCCCTCCAATCAGCATCAGAGCATGAACTCAGGTTCTAGTATTAAGGGACAAATGTCTACCTGCCATTGTGCAATGCAGCAGCTTGCATGACAACTTGTGCTTTGTGCTAGCTGAACAACTTCCCTGGATCCAACCTGTACTTATAAGTGAAACTGTTTATCAGCACATCATAAATAACATGTTATACAGGTACGTTCTTCAGAATATCCCAGTTTTTGAAAACATGGCTTATTTTTCCCCAGCTCAACCCACAATTCAATAAATACCTGCATGTGTGAGGAAAAAAAAACCTTTGCAGAGATAACAGCAGATGGTTGTGCCTGGAGTGAATGGAAGCAGATGTTTTGGTGGCAAATGGAATGCACTGCATGAGGCCTGCCCACCTGGTCGACTGGGGACAGTGCCTGGCTGTGCTGCCTGCTAGGAGAGTTCTGTCGTTTATAGCAGGCAGTGATAGCACGCTCCTTGGTCTGCTAGAGGGTTCTAGGCATGAGCGGTGGGTACAGTAAGGATCTAGGACACTGCAGCTTAGCCTGGGGCTGCCATTCCATGTAGCTTCACAACAGTTTCAGAATCTCTGGAAAGCAGCAAGTGCTGAGCCTTCTCTGGGAAAGCTTCTGAAGTCACAAGGTCAGCCTAGCATCAGGCTGAAGTAAGTGGAAGCTCACTCAGCATTATTGATTTGAGACTTCAGTTTATCTACTTTTAAATTGCCGGAGTAATTTAGGGAGTAATACCAAGTTTTGCCACAGAGCATAGCCTGGTAGTTTTCTGTTTTAATTGCAGTTTGTTCCACTAAAACAAAATATCTGAAAGCAAAGAGAGTAAGATATTAAAGCTCTTCCCTAAATTTGTTCAGCCATGTTATTTATCTGCAATGGCAACATGTAGCTATTATTGTACTGTACTGACCAAATTAATGAGTGAGATATGTTTCCAAATGAGCATGAATGGCACAAGGCAGCACCTGTGTGATTATAGGTAAAAATTTTTGTATATTCCGCCGAAAATAAGTTAAACCTTTCTTTATCTATTATAACAGAAGAAAATGAAGAGTAATTTGGATAATGTAGCATATCTAACAGCTGCCTAAGCTAAATGTGAGGGCCTCTAGACTGATACCTACTAGCCCAAATGAAGGGCAGGGTACTAGAAAAGCCCAGGTCATTGGCATGGTCCAAAAGATAATATTGCAAGGAACTGCTAATTGCCATTTTTGCTCAGCATTTTCTTTTCCTCTCCCTCTGTGCAACCCTTTCCTACCCTTTTCTGGTTTAGCACTACAGCAGTAAATCAACTGTGCAGGAAAGTACCATCTGGAAAAAATGTAAACACATCGAAAATGAATATTATTTCCCATATAATTTGACCACTTCCATTAATAGTTGAATGAACTATTTTACTCATCTGAAGGTGCATATGCCTTGGGATCTTAACTGTTCTGTTTTAAATCACTGTTGTCCACACAGAAGTGAACCAGATGTTCTTTGAGCATTTTTATTTATGAACTCGGCTGCCCTTATTCTCAAGTTATAGGAAAAAATGAGAGTCTACTGATAGAAGTGGTGCATTGCCCCCACCCACAGACTAATTATGCTGAATGAATGCGTGAATATGAATGTGCAGGTCCATCACATGTATCAGAAGCATTAATAATTATATCTCTTGAGAAATATCACACTAAATGACATCTGTAACTCTGTAACTGTTAATGTCTAATTCAGTCAATATTTTTGGTTATCTGATGTAAAACAAAGATCTCCTAATTAGGCATTACTTTTGGGGGCTTTCAAAACTTCAGATAATCTAAAGTCTGAAGAATCCTATGTCTATAAAAAGATACAGAGAATTACTTTTAAGTAGTCCTATGTGCTTGTGTGTGTTTGTATATGTGCATGCACATGCATGTGTTTTCAGTACAACAGGAAAGTCTCGTGAAATGCTTCACATCTGAACATTAGGGATGTTAACTGGGATTATTCCCAAATCCCCAAAGTAGACTTGAATATTGAGAATTCAACAACTTTTACATTGCCAAGGGATCGAAGCTGAATACCCACAATATGTTTGTATCTATATTAAATCACAATTTTAATGCTGCAGGAGTCAGATTCCAGTGCCACTTCAAGCACTGAGTTCTGCCATAGAACTGTAGCTAACAAGATAAAATTGTTGGGCCTTCTGCTGTGTGCTCCTAACAACAGTGCAGAAAGGATACCAACAGTGCCCCAAACATGTTCACAGATTTTCCCCCCTGGTCTTGGAAAAGTGTGCACATTCAGAGTCCACAGCCACGGAATTGCCATAATTTCCCATCCATTTATTGTGTCGCTTTGATTTTTGCATGTGTTTGCCAATCCCGTCTGCCTTGAAATGTGTGTATCTTTACTGATTCCATCACTGCCCTGTAGCCGACTTGTATATCTGACGGATAACAATGGAGACCCATGGAGGCAAGTGAGAAGCACAAGAAGCTTATTTGTCATTCGTCATTATTTGTTTTTCGGCGCCAGGCTATGACCTTTTTATTTAAAAAATACTTTAATAATGTTGAATATCTATAGGTTTTAATTGTGCAGCCAGGGTGTTTCCGGATTTTAATTGTATTTTGTACTATGTTTATTTATTTGAGCCGTCCCGAGGCTGTAAGTGATGGGACGGCATACAAAAACTCTAAATAAATAAATAAGATGCTTTTCAGGTAGGTATAATTGGTATGTCTGCGAAGCAGCTTTTCTTTCTTTCTTGTTTAACGATATTTGCTAGCTGGGTGAGTGCAGAAAAGGAGGGTGAAACTGATAAGGACACTGACCAGCAGAGAATATTGGTATGCAGGACTACACAGTGGACAATGCCCATTTTTAAAAGAAAGCTGATATGCATTCATGAAGGCTCGGAAAATTAATTCCATTTGATGATATGATCCAGATAGGGGAACTGAATGCAATAACTGGAAGCCACAGTGGACCACTTTCATGAAAGATGGAGCAGGGCCTGAGGAAACTCGGAGCCCTGTCACAGAAGTGCCTAACGTACACCATGGAAGCTGGTGGGAAGACCTGAGTGGGAAAGGAGGCCACAGAGTGTCTGACTCTTTGTGGGGTTACTGGGCAAACAATACATCCTATTGCGGCTTATTCTCTGGGTGGCTTTAGTGTGACGTGTGTAGCCACCCAAAATATGGAGACTTGTTACTGTTACTGGCATTCTTAGCAGGTTGTTGATAGCAAGGTTTCCGCAGATCTTACGACCTAAAATGCTTTGGACACTCTACGGCAATAAGTTTGTTCAAAGAAACTTTTAGATCAAGATTTTACAGTGTATTTGGGAAGATTTCAAAAGAGAAGATTTACTTTGTTTTGAATTTGACTAGGACATTGATAAGTGGGGGGCACTGGTATGTAGATAGCTCTCCACATCATCTGCATTTTATGAAGGTTGTCAACATGGAAATTATTCACATAAAAAGAAAGTTCATAGGCAAGTGTAATGTGGCCAGGTTTGGGGGTATCTTATAAAAGTAAAGAAAGGAAGGACAGAAGACATCTCTCTAGAAGAGAAAACACACTAATCTCTGTTGAAGCACACAGGGTAAAGAGACCTGTGATATCACAATGACAAATTTATGATGCCACAGTCTTGCATCATAATGGCATTTCATCAAGAGCAGGACAAGAAGCAGTGGGTTTAAACCACAACAAAGAGATTCAAGATGGGCATTGAACAATCAAGGAAAGTTGCATAATCAAGTTCAGTAACTGGACAGGCTGCCTAGAGAGGCCAAGGGAGATTATCAAGAAGATGCCTGAAGGAGAATCACTCAGGCATACCTTAGCTGTGGAAATCCTGCCTGAAAACAGGTTCCTACAAATAGATTGTACTGCTTGTCTGTTGGTTGAAAAAACAAGAACCATTTACCTCCATGTCAAGAAAGTGTGAAAGAATTTCAAAGGCTCAACAAGCAAGATGAGAAGCCCGTCCAAACCTCAGCATGCTACATATTTCCTCGCAATTTTGGATGGAGTTGCTACACTCTGTTCAGGAACCAGTGGGTGTGTCACCATATTATCTGCATAATAAGATACTCATCTTTAGAAGCCAAACATGTACAAAGTGCACACAGCTGAAAATTTGCAGTCCAGTCCTGACCATAGTTACCTCATGCAAGCTCCATGCAGTTTTGGAATTTACTCCTAAGTAAGTCTATGTAGGATTGCATCATTTTAGTAATCACAGGGAAAACCATATCCCCACTGTCATTCAGCAAATGAGGTCTCTAAGGATACATTATGATACAAAATAATTTCGTACATAACTGGCACATGTGCAAATCTCTAAAGGTA